TGGGAAGCATTTCTTTACCGAGAGGGTGGTCGAACACTGGAAGAGGCTTCCCAGAGAGGTGGTCGACGCCCCAAGCCCCCAGGCGTTTCAGAGGCATTTGGACAATGCCCTTCACAACATCCTTGAACTTCTGGTCAGCCCTGAAGTGGTCAGGCAGTTGGACTAGATGATCATCGCAGATGCCTTCCAACGGAACAATTCTACTCCATATTTTACAGCTCAACACTCTCCAAGATACCTCCCTTCACTTCTTCTCTGCTCCTGCCCACATGTGTCCACTGCTTAACTTCCACTAGCACACGCTGGCCACTTCATGAGCCAGCTTAACTCACTCAAATAGCAGAAAGCTAAATAAACAAATACAGCACTAGTGTAAAGAAGGACTGTGCAGGAGAAAGGAGAGTGAGATGCAGGAACAGGGAGACTTCAGGCTTCTCCCCTTTCACACACAGCTCAAACTCCAGTTTCACAGATACCAGACACAGACTCTAAAGGACAGAAGAAAGGTAAAGTTGGATTTGAGTTACTACCATAACACATTCCTTGCCCCTTCCATTTCTATCCTCAGTATCACACATGCTTTCAAACACAGGAAACCGCATGGAGCCTGTTCTTATAGGCAAAGCACTTACAAGTTGGATGTGCATTAAATACACACACACAAACAAACAAAAACCACTCAGAAAATACACCATTGTTTAGAATAGAAAAATAAAAACAGCGCACTTTAAAATACCAATTAAAAATATTAAAATGAAGCAAAGCCAGCAGACACAGCTACAAAAGAGGTAGCAGAAAAGAGAGCAAGGCTGCTTTTGATCTTATATTAGATGCAAGTTAAGAAGAAATAATTTAAATTGTTATTTAAAGCTGTCTATGTGAATGGTTCAATGTAGGTGAGATCCCCACCCTTTCTGGACAAAGCTCAGCACAGGCAGAATTAGAGCACGAAAGGGGCAGACCACTGCTCCAATCAAGTGATGAAGAACACACTCCTGCCTTGTGGTTGGAACCTCTCAGCTTAGCCCAGCTGATAGGCTGGAGATGAGTGTCTGTGAGCCTGTAATCTCTTTCAGAGTTGACTTAAATTCACCTTTTTGGCTGTGGGATGAAACATAATAAAAACGCTTAAAAGATAGCTGGATACTTCCTGAACTCACTCATGCATCTAAGAACGGTTTGGCTGGAAGGACCAGCGGGCTTAGCAGGTGTCCACACACTAAATAAGGCTGCAAGCTCATCACACAACCAGGCATGCACGAACAAACCAGGCACTGAGCTTGCCCTTTCAATAGCATGGACATCTCATAAATGACCACAGCCTCATCACAGCACTTCTTTCACCTTGGCTGCCACACCTATGCCGTGACTTCTCAGCACAGGACAGACACGGACCTGTTGGAGCGGGGCCAGAGGAGGCCACAAAGATGATCCGAGGGCTGGAACTCCTCTGTGAGGACAGGCTGAGAGAGCTGGGGCTGTTCAGCCTGGAGAAGAGAAGGCTACGGGGAGACCTGATTGCGGCCTTCCAGTACTTACAGGGGGCCTGCAAGAAAGCTGGAGTGGGGCTTTGTACAAGGGCTAGGACAAGGGGTGATGGCTTCAAGCTGAAAGAGGGTAGATTTAGATTAGATATAAGAAAGAAATTCTTCACTCTGAGGGTGGTGAGGCCCTGGCCCAGGCTGCCCAGAGAAGCTGTGGCTGCCCCCTCCCTGGCAGTGTTCAAGGCCAGGTTGGATGGGGCTCTGAGCAACCTGGTCTGGTGGCAGGGGTCCCTGCCCATGGCAGGGGGGTTGGAACGAGGTGATCTGTAAGGTCCCTTCCAACCCAAACCATTCTATGATTCTATGATTCTGTGATTAATGTGGAAGACAGCCAAAA